TTTTTTTTTTTTTAAAAAAAAAACTAATAATATGCCGTGGTTAATATGGGCTAATTTGTGCTTTTTTTTTTTTTGTCTATTAAATGCTATTTATTTATGAGCTATTTATTGCTACTTTTTCATAACAGCTATATATATATATATATATATATATATATATATATATATATATATATATATATATATATATATATATATATATGTCATTACCATAATAGTAAGATTTAATTAATTTGAGATTAAATGTATCTGGTCATTGATTAAAGATATTATTTAGAATTAGATATAAATTTTATACCATAATAGTAAGATTATCTACCGTATAGAAGGTGAGATACATAATTGAAAAAACTATAATTCAGAATTATGTTCCTAATTAGTCAATTTTTTCCTAGTTTGTGCGACCACATAAATATCATTAAATTTATAAAATATTCTTTTCTATAATATTAGAATTGGAAGCAATCTTCACTGGCACAAGGATCTCCTCACAGCTACCTCCACTACGATAGAAACCGACAATGAGTTTACGAAGGCTTCGAGTAGTGCGGGATAGGCTAATCACCAGACTGCTCTGGAATAGGTTAATCGCTGGAGACAAGAACGAGTGAATCTAGTTTTGAGAGCATGCCTTACTCTAATAGGGGGCGTAGAGTTTCTAAGTGAAGGCAAGCGCAATTATATATGTAATATCCTAGCTGTCAGCAAGGCAGGTCCGCTATAAAGCCTACCGGCCAGAAAGTCCTTAAGAACGAGAAAGCCGACTAAAAGGCTATTCCATAACCGACTCTTGTAGGTTTCGCTTGGTGGGACGGGAATGCCCGACTTATCAATCTATCCGGTAAACTACTTGGGGCTCATGTAGCCCATGCTGGATTAATCGTATTCTGGGCCGGAGCAATGAACCTATTTGAAGTGGCCCATTTCGTACCTGAGAAGCCTATGTATGAACAAGGATTGATTTTACTTCCCCACCTAGCTGCTCTAGGTTGGGGGGTAGGCCCTGGGGGAGAAGTTATAGATACCTTGCTTCTGGGGACATTGATCTAAAGCTCGAGTACGGTCCGTGCGCCGTTTTTCTTCTCTACCATGACGAATCAATTGATTTAATGTAGGCATCACTCTTTCCTTTGTCCTTCCCCCCTATTTTTGCCCTATCACTAGTGATTACTCCCGATCCGAAGCACCCCTTTTCCATTCATAGAGAGATCCAATCGTCAAAATCAATAAAAAGGCCATCATGGACCAAGATCCAAATAGATCAATCTTGTTGGGAGGTACTGCCCAAGGGAAGGAAAAGGTTACTTCCGGATCAGGAATAAAAAATAAAATGAAAACAAGATAAAATCTTATATCAAAACGACTCCTGGCATCACCAGAAGGATCGAAACCACATTCGTAGGCCGACAATTTTTCTGGATAGGTCGAACTATTGGAAGAAAATAGAAAAGGAAGATCGAGTGGGATCAAAGAAACTAGCGGCTATAAAAAATATTCAAAAAACTTATTTTTTCCTTGAAATTTTTAGTTTTATAAAACTTCTAGCTTTTTGATAGAATAGTCATTAACCGTTAATTTACTCATTCTACCCTTAAAAAAGTGAGTCTGCAATTTAATTCAGTGCGAATCCAGAATTTTTATAAAGTGGGTTCAAGATATAAAAAATAAATAAATAAAAATGCAAAATACGAATTAAAAATAAAAAGGGTATACTGGGGTTCAATCCTTGGTTGGCTAGGAGAAATTGAACCCCCTCTACCATTCGGCCAAGCTTTAAACTTGTGTTAGTGGGGTCAAAATTATATATATATATATATATATGTAAAATTTTTAAAACTGATTAAATATGCATGTATATACAATGTTATTTTTCAATAAAGTGGGTTCATATGAACCCACTTGCACCATTGTAGGTCCGCCCCTGATCTAATTGACAAGAGGAAAAAAGGCATATGAATCGAATTTTGACTTAACACAAAATTAAGGGACAAAATAAAAAGCTACTCCCTTTGTTTAATAATATGACCTAATTTGAATTGCAAGGATATTTTAGAAAATTGTAAATACTTTTTAAATTTGTGGTATTAAATTAAAAATTGTGTGATTTTAAACATGTCATGTTAAAAGCTGAAATCAAAGTGTTACTAAAAAAGAAAATACGTCATTTGTTAAGACAAATTAAAAAGGAAAGTAGATTATTCTTTTTGAAATGAAAGGAGTATATCCGATCTATCGATAGAATAGTAATTTATTGTGTTATACTAGCGACTAGGAGCGACAATTAAGCGGATTGGGTAAAATTTGTGTTGGTCAAAACGAATTAGGTAACGAGTTAGTAACGGGTCATAATCCAACCCGCTCAATTTTTACTAAATTTAATAGTTGTATTTGTTATTTTATAAGCTTTTAGTACCTAATAATTTCTTTTTATTTATTATAACTATATAAAACATATAAAATATAAAAAAAAATTAAGAATACTTTGACAAGATTTTTCAAAAATTAATTTGAATTACATATCAACCCAATTTATAATGGGTTGAAATGAGTTGAGTTAAAATGTGTTGAGCTAATAAATAGGTGGGTAAATAACCAACCCAAACCTAAATAAGATGAGTCGGGTTGGATTTAATTTTGCTACCCCTACTATCGACGAATATGATACTCCTCCATTAATCTGAACTTGCAAGCTCAAGCTGAATTTTAATATAAATATAAAATAGCTGATAAAAATTAAATAATAATAAGAATTAATTGTGTTTTTTATACATATAAGAATGAGTGTTATGCCCACATCACAAGACACATGGAGCATGTACATTTTTGAATTTTTTTTCTTTTGAAAGCAAAGTCAACTTATCTTGTTTAGAATGAGCTTTCAATCTTTTATAAGTCTAAATGTGTCAGCTCTAGCCAAAATAACGGTCAATAATGTCAAATTCAAGTCAAGTCATCAAAAATCAAAATTAATTTCATCATCACTAGTTTTCAAATTCATTTTAGTCCAAAGTAAATTTAAGGTAATTGATTTGAATTAAAAATATATTAAGGAAAATCATAGGTTAGTTCAAATTTTATTATAATTTATTTTAATATCTCCAATTTCAATTGAAGTTCATCCATTTAGTAAGTTTTGATGTTGATGGTCTGTTTGGTGGAATTATTGAGGAATTAACAATGACTTACTAAATGATAATGGATGATTTTCAAATAATGTGTACTTGTTAGTTTTTGTTTGGTTTCAATTAGAATTTTTGGAGGCAATCTTAAATCCTACTTTATGCCTATAAAAAGAGTATTAAATTTTCTTAAAATGCATCTCAAAAATCCTATAAACTCTGAGGTAATTTTAAAGATGAAAATCTCGAATATATCATAAAAGTTATGGAATATTCATAAAGAAGTCAAATTTAAACCATTATCATTCGAGAAATACGTCAATAACCATCCATGGATAAATTTAAAGAGAGTAGAATCAAGGAAGGAACAAAATTGTACCCGCATTGATTTATCAATAAAATATTTATCTTTCTTCAGATTTATAAATCTTAAAAGAGTAGAATCAAGGGAGGAACACAATTCTACTCGCATTGATTTATCAATAAATATTCATGTTTCTTCAAATATTATAAATCTTAAAGAGAATGGAATGGAGGGAGGAACAAAATTGTACCCACATTAATTTATCAATAAAATATTCATATTTCTTCAAATTTTATAAATTTTAAGGGAGTAAAATCAAGGGAGGAATAAAATTGTACCCCCATTGATTTATCAATAAAATATTCATGTTTCTTCAGATTTTATTTGTGCAATTTATTTATTTTTCATAAATTCAAAATTTATTGCAAACACACACATTTCAACATGGTATAAAAACATATAAATATCACAGCTACCACCACCTAATTAAAAGAAAAAATTTACAGATATTTGACCCATGAAAAAATCCAAGCACGTTCGACTGCTAAGGCTATTTGAAACTTACTTAATGGGTTAAGAGGGTTCTGTAAAAAAAAACATAGTAAAATTGTTGCACATTTTAATTTTTTATGGTGCAAGTCACTTTTGTAGAATTTTGGTCTCAATAACCATACAATGATTACGAGTAGTCCTAATTTCTTTTGCGATGGCGGCAAGAGTCATCTAGGCACCACGTGACATAAAGTTATCTGTGTTAAAGTTAGCATAAAAAGAACATTACTTTTTAGTCAAATTTTTTTGAGAAATAAGAAAATTTTCCATGATAAATCCTAAAATATCATAGATTTATCTGGGATATCCTTGAAATATTCTAGATTTGTTGAATATTCTAGAGGAGAGGCTTATTTGTGAATATGTAGAATCTTGTATAATAATTATTATTTGCATATTAGTTCCTAAGTGAATTATATAAATAGAGGAACGTCCATTTGTGAAATCATTAAACAAAAATCAATTAAAATTTTGTACAACACAATTTTTTTAACAATTTTCGTGTGCTCTCTCTAGCCTCTACCATTCTCTTAGCCACTATTTTTCTAACAATTTTCGTGTGCTCTCTCTAGCCTCTACCATTCTCTTAGCCACTAAGATTCCTAGAATCTTACGCTGACTAGCATACCAAGATTATGATCGAATAGTACATGAATGAGTAAGTTGTTAAGTATCACACGAATACTTAATAAAAAACTAAAAAAATAATATCTAGCTATCAAGATGATTTTTTTTAGAAAATGTGTTACTATAAATCTTCTTTGTCGCAGTGCTCATATTTTATGGATATGAAAAAAACCACTTGAATTAGTAAATTAAAACTCATTTTTCCCAATGAGGTACTTGTTGCTGGTGAAATGTAATACCTAGTCTTTCGCTTACTACTATTTTGATGTTAATGCTAATGGGGAAACATTGTCTTATTTGACAAGTGATGTTAATTGTCAAACCTATATGTGATCATTTAAGACTACTATTAGATACAAATTTTTTTTTCAAATGCTTGACAAGTGCACAAGTAACAGTATTTTTCAATGTTCTTGATCTCACTTCATTGATAGAATGCAGCAGCAGTACCAAATCAAAGATTTTTCAGTTAAGAGGTTCAATGCATTTTGTTATACTTCTACAGGCAAGTGGCACCAAATTAAAGATCTGAAAAATTTACAAGAGACAGTAACAACTCTACCTCTTTGTTGCACATGCCTGATCAGTTTGTAATGAACATTTAAAGTAAAACAATCTGTACTAGTAGCATCTCATTTGACAAAGCCATCTCGTCTCTTGAGATTTGGATGATCAAAACAGCATGGACGACAAAGGCAGTCAATAGCATGTATCAGTTTTCTCCTAGGACCAACAGCGTGCGAACCCATCTCCTTGAGCTTTTCCATGGTTAGATTTGCCAATTGATACTTGTTAATACTCTTGGTCTGAAAGATGTTCACAAAATGTTCAAAGCCCCTTGAAACCAGCCAACTTCTTAAGCCTCCAGCACTTTGAAGCTTGCGCTCAAGATTAATTGCTCTTATTCTTTTATTAATCATCGTACCCCTATCAGCAGTAATAATTGATGGCTTGGTAATCTTAGAGGTGGAGCAAACACCAGTCCTTCTATTAGTTTTGAAACTAGGCATTGGTCGACTTTCTAAACGTTCCCTTTCACTTTGCCTTAATGGTCTTGGGAACTGAGAAATTATTTGTGGAACTACTACGGCAGCTGTTGGTATAGTAACTTCAGGTGCCAAAGACTTTGGCACCTCCCTTTCACAAACTACCTGAGCTTCAGTATGCATCTCAACTTGTTGTGGTCGATTATCAGTAGCTTTAATCGGTGGTACATGTATCAGGCTTTCTCCAGCATTATGCACCACGGACTGCTTAGGAGCAGGTAGCGGTGGGACCAATATTGTAACTTTCTGCTTCTTGACTATTATCCAGCTATCTTCATCCAGGTGGTTTACCTGTGAAGGTCCCAGACTATCTTTCTTAGTTTTAGGAACAGGTACAGACTGTCGATGTTTTGTCCTTGCCATAAGTTGCTGACCTGCTGAATGTGGAAGAATCAAAATCAATTCCGTATGCTGAATATACACTTGTACCAAATAGCAACCAAATAGAAAAGTATTGACTGCCAGAAATATGTCAAAGACACTAATCCAAAATATAATCCCCCTTCCCACCCGTCAACAAAAAGCGATGTAAAGAATTGAAAAGCCAAACCAAAAGAAATTACTTGGAACAAGATCTGCAACATAAGGCTGTCTAAGAGAACTAGCAGAGATCAGACAAGTGTAATCCAACACAAGAAGTACATTTCCAACCAACCAAAAAAAAAACATTACAAGTATATTAAAGCATAAGCTTCACAGTGTCTCTAGGTTAAAAATTTCTATGGGCTGGGGTATACTAAAAGGATGTTTATAACAACCACAACAAATTAAGTGTAATCCAACGAGTGAGGTATGGGGAGGGTAGAGTACACGAGACCTTATCCCTACCTTTGAGAAGTTAGATAGGCTGTTTCTGAAAAACACTATGCTGAACAAACAGTGAAAAAGAGGACACAGCAACAAACAAAAACAACAGCAAGATAATCAGATATCAAGGCGAAATAACAAATAGTGATAGAAATCTAAAAATAAGGGAAAGAAACTAATAATACTAAACTCCGGGAAAAGGGAATGACTACTAACCTTCTACCCTAATCATTGACCTTCACAGCCTCCTTTTAAGGGTCGTGTCCTTCGTGAGCTGAAGTTGCACAATATCCTGCTTAATCACCTCAACCTCAAGCCTACGTCCACCACTCCTCAAGCCTACTACGGCTAACCTCTTACAACTGCTAACCAGGGAATCCACACCTCTCCTCTTCACCTCAACGTCACTTCCCACATCTTATCTTCCACGAGAACCACTCATACCTTGCCCCGAATACCTTCGCTCGAAATGTTATCTCTCATGGTATGTCTACACATCCAGCTCAACATCCTCATCTCTACCATTCACATCTTCTGGATACGGGAGTTCTTGACTGGCCAACACTTCTCCCCATATAATATAGTTGGTCTGACCACCACTCGCAACTAAAAGGATATGTATATCAAACTAAGAAATAACAATTATGGATGAATAGTAGGATGGTACCCTGATGCTGGACACCTAGATTTAATGTAAAAGGATATGGCCCTCACATTTCCAAGAGTGTCGTCTAGTGAAATTAATAATCCCTTCCATGGAACCTTTCCATGGTAGACAATATAGAAAATATCACAAGAACCAAAAGAATTTATTGATGAATTTTACTAATATATCAAATCCTTAGGTTTTTAAAGCATTTCTGGTCGCATTGGAAATGGAAACTATAGTTAGAGGCTTTGTGTTTTTGTAGATCAAGGATCATGTCATACATTGGCTTGAAGTGGAAGAAGACAGCATCACAACAATGATTGATCTAGTAGAAGTAGCATAGATGACAATTAATAAGCATCATAAAACAGATATCTCCAGTGATTGTTGGTATTAATGTGATTCACTTTGTTTTACCATAATGACAGGCTGCACCATTCAAAGTATGATGTTTGACAGAGTAGCTCCTCAGAGCTGCTAAGCCTACTTCAGAATATTAGTGAACACCATCATGTATTAAGACAATGTAAATGTTTTTTGATTCTTAAGAATCAAAAGACTACAGTTCAAGATATGATTGCCGTGAGCATTCTCCCGATACTCTGTGGAATATAAGTCAATAGATCTTCTTCAGAACATAAAAAGGAAGACCAAACTAATAATGACAACCTTTCTCAAGAATTTAGAATGCCACATCACATTAAGTTGATGGCTACATCTATGAGCCAGATATATCAGAATAGTAGACGCTAATGTCTACAAGAAAAATAATACAAATGCCGATTTTGGTACCACAATCAAAGAAACGAACAATCTACGGATACATACATCCACTAGACCACAACTTCAATAATCAAATGTTTAGCCGCTCCCGGGATAAACTGCAATCCTGCAGCAATCATGTCTGAGAAGTAAATACTATACCCAAACTACTACGGGTATCTTAAGAGACAAAAAAATCTTCCCAAAGATGCCATGAATAACAAAGAAAGCCCTTGGTAAATATTTCATGAACAACTTATGATCAAATTTACATTCACCAAGCATTGCCACCAGATTGGGATCAGACTTCAGAGGTGGAATCCAAGATTTGGAGTCTCCAGATGCCAAGTATACTCATCAATTTTAGGCTTCATTCGTCTATACGACAAATCAATCAGCAAAACATGAACAGTAATAAGATGACAAGTTATATACTACAAATTCACATCCTACATTCTATTGAGATCATAAAGCGAACAAAGTTAAAACTTTCAATAATATCATAAATTACCCATCATTCATTTACAATTGTCCTTGACGAGTTATTGTATTATGAAACGGTCAATGATGACAAAATTACTTATATTTGCAAATAAATCACGCTTTATGTAACTAAGCAATCATTTAAATATTGATCCCCAATATCATTATGTACTTAATTTTTTGATGTGCTTCATGGATGAAAATATTCTCTCCACAGTTGTCGTGGCAACAGGTAAAATCAGAGTCAACTTCACAAGTAAATAACTCTCCACAAGATCTGACTCAACCAATGTCTTTGCCAAATCATGAATTCCTCGCAAGTTGGATAATTAGGGATTACCATCTTGCATATGAATTGTGAAAGTGTCAAGTTAGTAACTCAAATCTATCCATTATAAAACTAATTTGGATAATACTTTGCTTAAGTCATGATTCTACCTTTATCAAATTTAGCAAACAAATTGATTGGATTCAAACTATCCATCCCAAAAAGCAAATCACTACACCAAAACGATCATTAAGCTCTTGAAGTTACACATCAATTGTGAAAAAAAGAAATTTCAACACGCAAGTGGTGCGAATAACAAACACTTGAAGACTTATGTTTTGACTTTCTCGGAAAATAAGCCTCACCCAACTTGGGAATCAAGATATCATAAAAAATCACAAAATGAAGAAACATCCTTTAACAAAGATCCCTATCCAGTTTTTCTCATATCTTGCCATGTTAAGAAACTCTACAACATTAACAATATTTTGATCTTTTTCTGGAAAAATCTTGCTCATCTCATTTGACATTACCAACATCAAGTGAAGCATAAAATAAATTTGAATGTTTTTATATTTGTCAAAAGATATTCTGCTTCATTTCTGTCACTTGAGTGGAACTTTTGTGTTCAATCACATGAACAATAGATGAGAAAATTATAATAAAGTTATTTAATATGATCCCTAACGACTATCACCTGATTTTGGAACTCACATTCTTGATGTAATCCTTGTCTAGTATGAAGAACTTCATCGGATTCAAATAATTGTTCCAACTGTTCAGCTTAGTGATGATGGAGTAAATCTATGTTTGAAAGATCCACCAACAACATTCAACACATTAGTAACATGATCAAAAAAAAAGATACAAGTGTTAGTTGCAATTGATCAGCAAAGCAATGAATGTAATATGCCAATGGACTATCTATCATAATCAAGTTTTAAGACCATTTATCTCTCCATTGTATTACAAGCTCTATCGTAATCTTGTCCACGAATTATGGATAGACTTACAGAATAATAGGAAAGCAAAAAAATATTTTTTTTCTTGAACGAGCATGCCAATGTATCACTTGGCTATGATCCAAAAGGATATTGTTAATGCTTGTGCAAGAGAAATGTTGAAAGCTATAATTGGGGACTTAAATGTAGATTATTGTAGTATATTAGTTGATGAGTCCAAAGACATCTCACACAAAGAACAAATGGCTTTTGTTTTGTGGTATATAGATAAGAATGATGTAGAATGATTTCTCGGTCTTATCCATGTTACTAATACATTAGCATGCTCATTGAATAAAGAAATTTATTCTTTACTTTCGATCATTCATAAGTCCATCCAAAATATGTGGACAAGGTTACGATGGAGCTAGTAATATAAAGGGAGAGATAAATTGTCTCAAAACTTTATTATGATAAATAGTTCATCAGCATATTATATTAATTGTTTTGCTCATCCTTTGGATCAAATACTTGTAGCTTTTGTTAAAACATTCGGATGTCGACAATTTCTTTTTATCATGTTACTAATTTGTTAAATGTTATTCGAGGATCTTTCAAGCATACAAATTTACTCCGTCATCACCAAGCTAAAAAGTTGGAGCAATTATTTGAATCTGATGAATTTCATACTATACAGAGATTACATCAAAAACATGAGCTCCAAGACCAGGTGATATTAGTTGGGATCACATCTCAAAATATTAGATAACTTTATTGTTAATTTCTCATCTATTGTTCATGGATTTAAAGTTATTGAACATGAAGGTGTACTTAAAGTGAGTGAACATGAAGGTTCTACCTTAACTGAGAAATCAAGAAGAATATCTTTTGATAAAGATTAAAACGTTTAGATTTGTCTTTATGCTTCATTTGATGTTGAAAGTGTTGGCAATGTCAAATAAATTGAGCAAGATTTTACCAAATCTAAAAAGATCAAAATATTATTAATGTCGTGGAGTTTCTTAATATTGCAAAGAAAAGATGCCAAAATATGAGCAAACCTGGATGAAAATCTTTGTTGGATGATGTTTCATCATTTTGTGATTTGCATGATATTTTGATTCTCAAGTTGGATGAGTCTTATTTTCATGGAAAGTCAAAGCGCAAGTCTTTGGGTGTTTGTTATTCACACAACTAGCGTGTTGAAGTCTTTTTTGTTGTCATTGATGTGCAATTTAAGAGCTTAATGATCATTTTGATATAGTGAGTAGAAATTTATTTTTCTGGGATGAGTAGCTTGAATATAATCAATTGTTTCTTTAACTTTGACAAAGGTAGACTTATGACTTTAGCAAAGTGTTCTCCAGGTGGTTTGATAATGGATAGATTCGTGATTTGAGTTACCAACTTGATACTTACATGATTCATATGCAAGGTGGTAAATCCAAGCTCTCCAACTTGCAAGGAACTCGTGATTTGACAAAGACATTAGTTGAGGCAAATCTTGTGGAGACTTATTCTCTTGTTTATTTACTAATGGAGTTGACTCTGATTTTACCTGTTGACACACCAACTGTGGAGAGAATATTCTCATCAATAAAGCACATTAAATAGGAATTACGGAATAACATTGATGATCAATATTTAAATCATTGCACAGTGTTACATAAAACACGATGTATTTGCAAATGTAAGTAATAATGTCATGATTGACTGTTTTCATAATATGAAAACTTGTCGAGAACAATTGTATATGATAGATATATAGTGAAGATACTAGTAATATTATTGAAAATTTTATCTTTGTTAATTTCATGATCTAAGTTGGGTGTGGTGTGTGAATTTGTAGTATATATTGATGGGTCTACTTGGCACCCGAGGCTCCAAATCCTGGATCTGCCCCAGTCAGAAGTTCTGAAAACTATATTGTTTTTGAGTTTGATCAAGTAAAAGATTTCATTGATAATAGAGAAAAGATATAAAGTAACCATTGAAGTTGTATCGAATTTTCAAAAAGACATCTTAACTTTGTATGTGTCCTATTACCCCACGAAACTATCTAAATCCACAATAAACATACCCTTTTGACTAATTTTAACACCACTCGTGTTGTCACGAAATTTGAGCACATGAAGGACTGTTCATACAGCTTCAGACAAACATAAAATTGCCATGTGGCACTCCCAATTTGACTTATTTTGAAAAAAATATAAAAACCCATGTATTGATTTTTTTAAAGCTTTATTATGAATAGTTTTTACTTTTCAAATCTTTTTTCTCATCTTCCCTACAATGATTAGACCCATATTTCTTAGACATCTATGTCTTTCCTCCATTTTTTAAAAAAACAAATGTTATTGTGTTCATTCTTATTCTTTTTTTTGAAAAACAAATTAGTTAAGTGATTTTATTCCTCCTACAAATCAAGTTTTAGATTTAGGAATAGCGAAACTATGAAAAACTCAATTTGGGAGTAAAAGTTGAAGATGGAAGTTATTTAAATGTCATATTTTGACTTGGTGATATTTTGAGTATTTAGATTTTGATTATTTGCCAATATTTATTTTCATAAATAAATTAATTGATGGTAGTTTGACAAATAATTAATAATGTTGTCGAAAATTTTGTCCCGCCACAGCGGGTTTGGCGGCTGTTCTACACAACGAAAGGAATGACAAAAGTTAAGAACAGAGAATGAGGGTGAAGAAGAGAAACAGGAAAAAAGATAATGTAAAATTACTTTTAACACGTGTCAAGTGACTATTCGTGCGTGACTTACAAACATTTTTGTATAAGTGGTATTAGGTGAAAAATGGGGTATACATACTATAGTGAAGTTTTTTAATGGGGTAATAGGACACCCACAAAGTTAAGGTGTCTTTTTGAAAATTCAAGACAACTTCAATGGTGATTTTATGTCTTTTCTCTTGATAATAACAGTGTCAACTTGGTCATATACAAGCAGTATACTAAAAAAGGAGAACCCTACAAAATATGTTCTCTATAAAGACACTCAATAGACTCTATACAATCATGAACTACGTGAGTGCACCAAAAGAAAATAAGGGATCGGTCTATTCCTCAAGTGAGCAAAGCTCATCTCCACCCTTTCAAAAGCTCTCTATTTCTCTCTTTCCAAATGACTCACACTAAAGCAATAGGGGTAACATTTCAAGAATTTTGCCTTTTTCTCCTAGCTCCCTTCACTTGTGATGGCTCCTTCGTACATATCATTTATGTCATTTTCATACTTGATATGGGTGCATTTCTTCTCAATAACCTAGTGAAAGGCTTCTCTTGGCATTTCTTTCACCTGTCTCTTACTACCTCCTCTCCTGATCTAGCAACTAAGTAAATCAGTTGTATGTTCTGGCATAGTCTATTTCACTTCTGCGAGAAGCATGGACCATATTTGTGTAGTGCAAGTCTTGGTTGCGCCAGTTTTGATGCCACACCCGTCTCAGATTCTCCAAAAGAAAATACACTACTTTTGGCGGATCCGACAAGCAGGCGTTGACATTTTTGAAGAGTCCGAGCAATATAGGTGAAAGTATGATATAAGAATAGGTGACTGTTAGTTTCCCCCATCTTCCCACATAGAGAGCACCAAGGAAGTATGATCTTTCTTTTCTTCCTCAAGACTTCATGTGTCAAGCATGCCTTTCTAATGACCAACCAAGTAAAGCACTTGATTTTTATTGGTGCTACAATCCTCCAAATATTTTTCAATAAACTCCGATATCTGCTACTTTTTTTTGAGACAAGGGTAACTTTGTATTCACAAAAGATTCATCATCCAAGAGATGATGAATTGGAAACTTACATCCCATAGTGTGATGACCAAACCTCCATGATGGTAATCATATTACAAGTTCCCTAAGAAATCAACTAATTCCACCCCATTCCCCACCAAGTCTAGTTTACACCAAAAAAATAGAAGACTAATACTGTTTGTTTTAATCCTCTGAAAGTTGATTTTTTGTCCTTCAAAACACCTAGCGTTCCTTTCCTAACATATGGACCACCAGATATATGCTCGGATGAGCTTCCACCATCTTCCTTCTTGCCTCTACTTCCAACTCATGGCCAGTTGTTCAGGACCTCCAAAGTAGTCTTTGGCATCACCCAGCTAATCCTCAAAATGCACAAAAACGTATTCCACAACCTTGCAGCTATTTGACCGTGAATGAACAAATGATTGTTTACCTCAACTTCATGTTCACATAAAACATCTCGAACAGATATGCATGTCTCTTTTCTGTAAAGCTTCATGAGTAAGGCATGTTTTCCTAACAAGTAACCAAACAAAACATGAGACTTTAGTTGGACATTTCAACTCCAATATCTGCTACTTTGCGAGCTGAACTCTTTTTTATATGCTCTGCCAACTATCAAGATACCTCCATCCTTACTGTGAGACCATCTAACAACATCATTGGCAGTATTGGTGCCTGCAAAAATCCCCCACTTCGTCCAACGATTTGGCTATTCAAACCTTGTTCTGTCCAGCAATCACTAATCATTGCCTCAGAATTGGTGCACTAAATAAATAGAACAGGAAATAGGTCTTTTAGGGGGGGGGGTGATCCATACATCCCATCAGAATCTAGATCTTCTTCCATCCCCCACCTTGATATGTAAATTGCTTCTAACTTGGGCCATAAGTTTCTAATAGCTCTCCAAACCCCCGCTCCATATGCATTTGTGCTTACGTTACTACACCAGAATCCATCCTCCCCACATTTATATTTAGTCAAATCTTTCCACAAAGCTTGCCCTCTCATCAGTGTATCTCCACAGCCATTTCATCAAAAGACTGTTGTTATGCTTCCTCAAATCCCTGATGCCCAAGCCACCTTTATCTTTTTATGCAAAACCATCACCCACTTGACCAAGTTGTATCCATTGTTCTCTTTGCAGCCATGCCAAAGGAAATCTCTCCTAAGTTTGTCCAATTTCTTAGCCACTTTTGCCGGTATGGAACAAACATATAGAGAATAAAGCACAACCCACTACTCTCCTTCCTAACAAATCTAAGAAATCCATATACTGATTCAGTTTCACTAGTTAGACTACTTTTACACCAGAAGTACAAATTCTGTAAGCATCTATTTATAGTTTAAGAAACCAAAACATTTTTCACTTCAAAACAAGCCTTGTAACTTACTTAGTATTGGAACAATATCAATATGACTTATTTTGCATTTTTTTGCAGGCCAGAATATAACATTGAATAACCTGTTTAGTCATACTATTCCAATCTTCCAAGGAACTTCCGAACCTCACTATATATTCCATCTCGATGACATTTTCACATGCATCTCATATTATTCATGGTATCATGTACTTCACTTGATCCGATTCTATGAGTTCAATTAAGGTTCTATTTGTACTGGATGCATGAAATTTGTACAGTTACTTCTCTGGTCAAAACTTGTTGAAATCATCTTTAATATACTTAACTTGGTTCACTTCTTTACTTCTTTTCTCCCTCAATCATGTTAACTCACACATTTCTCTTTCTCTCCTTCCTACGTCCCTTACTGTTGCTGCATCCAACTTTGCTAATTGCCTCCTTAACTCCTTTCTTTCATTCTCTTACACTCTTTCCGGCGTTTCCATCTTTCGCTCTAGATAACTTTTAAACCACTCTTTTTTTAGTAGCTCTACATACTTCTTCACTCTACAGCATATTCTTGCAGTTAATTCCCCAACCCAACAAGAACACCACTCATTACCTTTTTAGTACAACTTATCTTTCTTCACTCATTACATTCGTTGCAGCTATATTATTTTCTTCATTACTTTCAAATTCACCTAGAGGAATCTAAAATTAGGTCCCATACACCACTAATGAAGATTTAAGAAAGAATTGTTGAGATTGGCTCGAGAATATAGAAGCATTTTTCACAAAATTTTCCCAAAATCTCCTTCATACTCCATTTAGTTCGTGGATTGAAGGCAAGATAGCATATTGCTACATTCCTAACTAATCTTTAGCTTTAACAGTGGGCTTAGAAATTTATCTGAGAAATATAATACCCATTAACCTGCTTTAATTCAAGAAAGTTCATACCCTTGAGAGATCAAAATAGGGGTTTTCCACTTTCAGGTCCAAAACAACAGAAAAATCAAAACAGCAACGATTAAAACAACAATTCTCCGCTAAAAACAGCAAATCAACAAATCAAAGATAACAAGAACAATTTAGGAGATATATTCAAATCAATGGAAGTGCAAAGCATTCAGCCATAACCCAATTATTCAACAATTTTGAAGTAGCAAATTTAATGGGACTAACCTTAAGAACAAGTAGGCAATGATGGAGGAGGAGGAGGAGAAAGAGCCACAGTGACCGATAAGAATGAGCTAAAGAATGCCTCCAACTTCTCAATTAAATAAAAGGGCTATTTTTTATTTTCTTATATATTTAATTTTTCTAGGATTAAATTAATAATTTTAAATTAAAAACTTAAAATATTAAAAGTAATCTGCTGAAATGGAAAAGAGCTTAAAATACACTTAATGTATTAGAATTGATACAAAATTATCCTTCATTCATCTATTGGATTAGAATTGATACAAAATTATCATCCATCCATCCATTGGATTAGAATTGATACAAAATTACCCTTCATCCATATATTGGCTCCAAAATACCCTTCTCATCCACCTATTGGCTCCAAAATTAGGATTCAAAACGAACCAGTTATTTAACGATTTTAAATTTAAACTATTTAAATATTTTTTTAAATGCACGACGCTCAATTATTTCTTATAATAACTTATTACTATAATTTATAAACAAATCTACTATCCACCACTAATTAAACCATACCCAATTAATAAACCCGCCTATTACTAATGCAAAACAGAAAAACTACTACCAATGAGTGTTTCTATAATTTTGAGGCGAAAATGTCTATAAAAGTACATTATCATACATTTTAGTCGTCAATCAAAACATATTATAATTCAAGTGTCTAAATAAAAATTACCGATAAAGTTAAAAGTGTAACTATGTTCATCTTAATTATTCATTCACCTCAATTATGTGATATTACTTAATCGATAACTTTTTTAAAAAAGAATATATTAAAGTTTTAATATTAAAAACAAATAATAAATATTTATAAAATTATATTTAAAAAGTACATTAATTAATTCGAGAGGTACTATTTCTTTACCTTTAATCATAAACATCGAATTCAAGCTTGACAGAATCCTATTGAAAGTGTTCTCCTAAATAAGTGGCTCAACCTAAATTTAATTTAGGCTTCAGCTTGGTGAAATCCGATAATCGATTGGCTTTAGAAAGGCGAAAGGCGGCTTGCCCAACCTAGACATTGTAACTGAAATCGGACTCAAATTATTTTGAATGTCATTTTCAGGAATCAGTTTTGTCGTGCTTTAGTAGTGTTTAGGTCGACTTTGATATTAGAATTAATTGGGTGGGGCTTAATTAGTAACGTATGAGTAGTGGGTTGGTTTATAAATTACATTGATAAATTAAATTATATTGAATAGTTAAGCGCCAAGTATTTCTAAAAATATTTTTAAATAGTTTAAATTTAAAACCGTTAAATAAGTGGTCAATTTTGAATCTATAGGTGGATGACAAGGGTATTTTGGAGCCAATAGGTGGGTGAAAAGGGTATTTTGGAGCCAATAGGGGGATGAAGGGTAGTTTTGTATCATTTAAATACTTAAAAGGTATTTTAGGTCTTTTTCCGCTTTTGAAATTGTGAGACATGTTAACGCATTCTCTTATTAACTTTTTATCCTGCTTTTAGAGCTGTTAATATGGGCTAGCCCACCCCATCCGGGCTAACCCATACATGCTTTGACATTTTACGGGTCAGGCCAGGCTAGCCCATTTTTTGTGTGGGCCAGAAAATGGTCGGCCCAGCCCACAAGTACGTGGGCTAAAGGCTTGCCGGGCCAGCCCACTATTTAAAAAATTATATTTTTTTATAATTATTAGATTAAATTATAAATTATAATTTAAAAATATTATCATAAATATCGACAAAACAATATTACAATATGTTAGGCCTCATTTGTTTGCACTTAATGGGATTTGAATCTTAATCATTTAGATATTCCTTACTAAGTGTATTTGTTTTTAAGAACTGGATCTTAATTATTCAGATTCAATTCATTAAATTCGTTTGTTTTATTTTCTTATAAGCCTCTTAATGGGTGTGGATATATCTGAATGAATCAGATTTGTAACACACCCTTAACACTATTCAGACTAAAAAATAAGACTCCTATCTTAATTCAACTAAATCACGACAACTCATAAAAATTGTTTTCTTATTTAATTAATATTAATTACATGCTTGCCATTATAATTTCCTTTATTCATATTAACTTAATATACTTCTTTTACTTTCTAAATTAATAAATATATTTGAATTGATAAACACTCACATGATATAATATTTAGCACGATTTTAAAAAATAAGAAAGTATTAATTATTTGATCGATAACAATAAAAAATTTCTATAATAAAATAAAATAAAATAAAATATTTTCCTAAACTATATATTTACTACTCTACATAAACTATTTTAAATTGCATTATATTAGATTCTCAAAGTATTTGAGTGCAAAAAATAGTCATATTAATGATGTAACTTGATGTTGAGTTCTTAAAAGATAAATCATATAACCTTGTTACGGTAAAAATGTTCAAAATATTACTTTATATGAAAAAAAAATATTTTACTAATTTAATGTTCAGATTCAAAGACAATATTTTAATATTAAGATGTTTATTTAGATTTACACATCTAGATCTTAATGCACATCTTAATATTTAAATGTGTATTCAAATTCAAACGTCTTAATCTTAATGGAAACAAATGAGACCTTGTCATTACTTGTTATCAAATTCACAAATAAAATTATCTTTATTTGTAATTTTGTGTACCTCTTTGGCTTACGTGACATTCAAATATTTTTGACGCGCCTCAATTGCGTGGAGTCACATAGAGTGCCACATAAGACAAAAAAGGTCAGGAGTAATAGGACCTTAGTTTAGTTAAGATGTGTCTCTGGAATTTTGGTCATAGTCTAGGGGGTACTTGTGCATTTTCCTTAATATTTATTAAGTTTTTTTTTCAATTAAGAGTATAAATATCTAAATAGAAATATTAACCTAATTATTTTGATTTTGGACTCTCTTTATTTTTAAATTTTAGTATTATATTATATTTTTAAATTAATTTTTATTGGCCCACGGGTCGGTCCTACCAATATTTCTCAAGCCCCCCAAATGAACAGACTTATTCAGGTCGGGCTAAAAAGCCCTATTCTTAAATGAGCTCCAAAAATCTTAGCCCAACCCTGTTAAATCCCGGGTTAGGCCAGGCTGGCCCAACGGGCTTGACCCATATTGACGACTCTACCCGCTTTGGATTCTTTAAATGAAAAATGAGTAAGGGTGTGTATGGTCGATTCAGTTTTCTGTATTATTGATTTTTAATTTTTTAAATATGTAAAATCATAATTAAATCAATAAGATATTCGTTATCGATTTTTGGTCTTTAACGATTTGATTTTCGATTTAATCAATAAAAAAAATACTTTCAAAACATTTACTCCATATGACTTGTCTAATAATTTGACGTGATATATGCATACATCGAAACAATCAAATCATACTAAATTGCAACAAAAAAGAGTAAAGCAATACTAACACCTCAATCAAAATCTCATTTTTCTTTTCAGAAGACACACAAAGAAGACAAATAAAGTTGTATTGCTACATCTTTATCCAAATTTAAAAAGTGATAAACAAGATTTTTTAAAATCATGTTCAATACGTTGTGCTATTAAAATCTTGCTAAACGCAATAAATTGAGTTTCAAAATCAACTCTCACATTAATTTTTGAATCATAAGACCCATACACATTTGTGGGTCTTAAATTTATACTTATCATTGAAAATTATTTTGACATAACTTGGAGAGCAGTCAATACCTTTTTTTTTCATCTGATTGTTTTGTTTCACTTTTATCACTTTTTTCCTCTCCACTTGATTAATCACCGTCTCTTTTCTCTTCACTTGAATTTTCGTTTCTATTCTCATCACTTTTTTCTTCACCTGACAGTTCACTGCTACTCTTATTATTCTTTTCCGTTCACTAGATTGCTCACCATTATTTTCTTTATTTTTTTCTTTTACGGATGATTGTCCACTGATACTTTGAAGTGTTGAAGTATCTTTTTTTCTAAAAGCAGTTAAGCTCTCAATTTTTTCTCTTGAATCTGAATTGGATAAAGGTGTTCTAGTTCTCTTTCTCTTATATTAACGCATTATATCTTTTACTAAAATAATTAAAAATTTGTAAATAGTAAAAAATAAATTCAATAAGATCAACAAAAAAACAATTACAGTACATTATAAAATAAAATTATATTATTTGTCCTAACAACTAATGGGTTGACCAACAACTGAACACAATTGTTGAACAAATGCATTAGTTGTTGGGGCAACTTCTATAATCATCCGACGACTACAGACAGTTGAAATTTTTTTGTATTTGACAGACATGTCTAGAGATTTCTACAAGCAACTTCAATAATTGTTCAGATAACTACAAAAGTTGTTGTCTGAAACACTCAAATTAAATTCATTAAATGCAGTTGAAGAATGGGCACAATTTTTTTTATACTTACCAATAATCCTTTTTTGACTTACTTTTATGTTAAGAAGGAACAAGTGCGTTGCAAAAAAAAAAAAAACCGCGATAGGTAAATGATGATGATTTTCTTCTATATTAAATCCTAGTTTTAATCCTTTTGAAATACAAAAAGAAAAAATTTTCTTGTATTGAAAGTTAATGATTGAAAAGGAAAACATAATAGAGAAGATTTGATCATTTTGAAGATGAAGATGCGTTTTTGTTGAATGAGAAAGAAGAATTTTTTTTGAAGGATGCTCCGTTTCGAATCTTCCATTTGCAGAAGTTCAAACAAAACAAAAAATTAATATAAGAATCCGTAATATGCCTCACAATTTCAAACGGGTTAACTTTTTATCTTTTAAGTTTTAAAAATTACTAATTGAGTACCTTGTATTAATTAAGATTAAATGAATAGAGAAAAAAAGAAGAAGAGAAGAGGTCTCACATGTCCATTTAAATTAATTGAAGACTTGAGAGACATTCTTAGCTCATTTTTTTGATCTCAATCAACTCATCATACATAACATTCTCGCTTATTTTTATTAGTACTGTTTCTCAACCCTTCAAATGTGAAGTGTAACGAGTTGGATTCTCCACCCATTCACCATGTAAATCAACTCCTATTATTATTATTATTATTATTATTATTATTTGATCTTTCATAGATGAACACAATATCTGAAGACAT